GTTCTTAGTTACATAACGTGGCAGGTCGGTCAATTTATCCAGGTGAATGGATAAATCGCATAATCGATAAATTGCATCCAGAGGTTCAAAAATCGTGCATCATGACACAGCCGTGGCTTGGTTGGCTCCACTGTCAAGGGTAAGACTAAGTGCGGCGGTGAGACCTGCCCCACTCTCCCTATGAGGGAGATAGCACCTGACTTTAAATGTTGTTGAAGGGTGGTGGAAATAAATTCAACAAAGGATTTACAGGACACATTGTTCTTGAATACCCGGGGGGGTGGCAAAGCAGAATCAAATTGTTGACCTTTAAACGTTCCCTTAAAATGCCGAAAGTAAGGCAAAATCGAGACTTGGTTAGTAATCCAGTCAAGGATTTGATGTTGTTCAGCCGAGAGCACCCGTGTCGCCATACATTCCCAGGAGTGAAGATGTTGATGTAACTCCCCCGCATGGAAATGAGTGGAATCCCGGAAGGCTAATAGGTCAATATCACCCACAACCTCGCCCTGTTCCAACCAGGGGCACAAAATTTAACAGATGGTCATTTGCCGTCCCCCCTCTGTCGATCAGCAGGGACCCTCCCCTCCTGTCAACCCATTGTATGTCCTCAATTGGTTGTCGCATAGCAAGATAATCATCCAATGAAACGGTTCTCTCCCATGGCCAAGATGTAGCATGTAAACAATAAAACTGGTGTGACGAAGAGGGAAGACCCCCGGCCGATCAGCAGAGAGAAGACAGCTTTAACCCAGTATGACCGGGAGGGTTTGGTTAAGATACCCTGTTTTCAAAGCCACAACTCGCATGTGATTGGAAGAAAAAATTCGCACACATAAGATTCACTATGCTGGATAGATTACATAACAATCGCTATCGGGTAACCTTAAACTGGTAAACGCAGAACATCGACTAAAATAGTGCCAAATAAATATTTCAACCAAACACCACAACGAGATCGCCTTATAGGGCATTCTTAGCTTAATTAGGACCCACACCCAACCGCAAATAGTTCAAAGGCGTGAAAGAATAAATTACCCGCCTCAAACTACCAAACTAACACCGTAGAGTTGTCAACTATTCAGTATTTTCTCTCTCCGTACTATACGTGGACGTTGACGTGGACGAAGAAGGAACTCTTGGCCGTCTGAAGAGGCATTTCGCCGCAAAATGTCCAATCCTATTGCAAGAATAGCACCGGAGAGGTCCACTATCCCTCTGTAATGCACCACAATACGGTGATTGACAAGAATAAGGTTGTGACAACACATGGGGTGATGATGACTTCCTCATAGACTTCTCAACCTTTGCCACGGCTTCGAACCCTTTTGGTGATTTTTATCTCCCAAGAGTTGATGAAGCAACGACCGAAAATGCTCTTTAGGGAGATTGATCTTACTCCGCGCAGTGTGGAAAGAGAGCATTCCTGGACAGTTTTCCTGAGTTTCTCCAATTCTTCCTTCAATTTCTATTGTTGAAAGAACGGAAAGTAGTAAGGTGAATGGTCATACTAATTATGACGGCAGATGATACTGTTCCTGGCATATGATGTTCGAGGTCTGACCCACTATAAATCTTGTGACATGTCATCCCCTGTAAAACATGGTGAGGTCTCACCATGCATAATATTTGTTGAGATTTCACCCACTGTAATATTTGACAAAATGTCACCCACTGTAATATTTAACGAAGTCTTAACCACTGAAATAGGCGGTGAAGTCTCACCCACTAATCTTTGGTGAAATCTCACCCACTGTAATATTTGGTGAAGTCTCACCCGCGGTAATATTTGGGGAAGTCTCCCCCACTGTATAATATTCGGTGAAATCTCACCCACTGTAATATTCGGTAAAGTCTCACCCACTCTAATATTTGGTGAAGTCTCCCCCACTGTATAATATTCGGTGAAATCTCACCCATTCTAATATTTGGTGAAGTCTCCCCCACTGTAATAGTTTGGTGAAATCTCACCCACTATAATATGCCGGTGAAGTCTCACCCACTGTAATTTTTGGTGAAATCTCACCCACTGTAATCTTTAATATTCTGTAGGTCGGATCCATGTGGAAAGAAATTGCTGAGGTAGTCTTGCAAATTGCTGATACCATTTTTCAAGAAGAGGAAGCTGATGAAATCGATGTATTTGACCTAAAGGTTCGTACTTGTTGTAAGTATAGAAGAGTTTATAGAGTTAGGAAGTCGTAAAACTCTATTGTATTGTTTAATTCAATAAGACTTATCGTTTTTAACCAATTTCCAATAACGATTGCCTACGATAATGGGAATCCTCTATAAGCACCACTTAAAGAATACAATTAATTATACCATAACGATTGTTAATTCTAGTGTGAGGAATGGGCTACCACCTTCGTGATATCTTTGGTCCATTGCTTGGTACTGGCGACTATGGTCATCTAATTATTGAGCATGCCTCAATGTTGATGCGAACTTTTGGATCAATGAGGGAATTTAGCAACCAGGGATTTGAAAGTTCTAACAAGGTTGATCGCAGGCTTTACCACAAGCCACCAATCATGATATTCAGGCAAAAGATTCTTCAGGTTTGTTTAAATAGCTTAGGGTAAAACTCTTCCGGATATGAGTACTGTAGATACACATGTTTCATGTTATATTATAAATTTTCCCTTGTACTCTTTTGCAGTAAAACAAATTTTAACGCATGTCTATGTTGACAAGTTGTTGTGCCTTCGTCACTCATTCAGAAAAGCCTTGGAGTGCTTTAAAGGAGGTAAAGGGATTTACTTATGACATTTTGGAGATGATTTTTTTTTTAATATAGATAAGGAATTTTACTTCCGTGGTTGTGGATGGAAGGTGAAGAAGGTAAATTGGATGACATGAAATGGATGCAGAAAATGTGCTCATTGTTTGACATGTTATATGGTCCTGATAAATTTCAGTTCAAAACCTCAATCACAGCATTTGGGAGCAACAGTTTGAACTGCCTGAAATAAAGTCGGAGACTAAATCAAAGGCTAGATGCTCACTCAAGAATGCTTTTACGAAGGTCAAATAATGCATCAATCCTGTCGATACTCCCAAAATAGATGTATGGGTTCCCAAAGGGGGGGGGGCTATGCCTATCTGCAGGATAATGTTATTATTAAGCTTATAAACACATGTCCTGTGGATAACTACTTTACCATCCTTTATCTCTATTTAAAAGATCATCCACCAGTGCTACATCACTTATTAGAATTAGCTGCTGTGCATGACTATGCTAGATGTCTTATTAATGTCGTCCAGGCCTTTGATGATGATGCTGCTGGTACCGGAAAGGTACATTGGCTGCATTAGTTTCCTAAATTCGAATTCTTGGTATCGTCAACTGTAAATATATGGGGATGTGAGCAAAACATGTTTGTTCCTTGTTTAAAACCAGTCACTACAAACATCTTAACAACTTGTACATCGCAGGACTGTCCCCGGCAAGTACAGGAACACAACTACAACAGCATTCAAATTCTTGATTGTGATGTGGAAACAAATGAAAATGTAACGTACCTCGAGTCACTATTTTACCACTGGTTGTGTCCTTCACCCAAAGCATGCAATATAGTATTCCAGCAACCGCCTGCAATTACAGCACCAACAAACCTCGGCCATCTTCAACTTGATCTTTCTGATGATTCCTGGACTGAGCCTCTATGTTGTGGAGGTACTCGCTTGTCAGAAACTTGACACTTCGCCAATGGACTACCCTGGTTTCTTTCAATTTTCCTTGGAGACTTGGCACAGACAGACAAGCTTCATGGGCCTGAAGAAATTCCAGCCAGCCTTCAGATTTCAGAAGCAACATACCATTTGAGTGCAATCAAATTTTGGAATAGAGTCCACTATTGTGCAAGACTCCAATATCATGGCAGGTGGTATGACTATGATGCTATGCATAACATTCCTCTAAAAGAAATAATTGGTGTTTCAGCTCCATCACAAATAGGTTTTATAATATCTTCCTGTGTGTATTTTAAAGAATAAACCAACAGTAAAATAGCAGTATGAATATGAAATTGATCAATCAGTACAGTAATAGTAGCATATATATGGTAGATATACATTTTCCAAATTTAAAAATAATCAGTGTTCTGTATAATCAGTCAAGTGAGTTGCTGTTGGAGTGATGAGCATTTAGTGAATGTTCTTGTGTCAGAAAGATGTAGTCATCTTTTGCTGACAGATTAAAAAGATGCAGTCATCTTTGCTTGATCAGTTGAAGCTGAATGTCTGATCATTTACTTTACAGCAACTTGAATATAAACTGACAACCATAATTTGTAAAATCATAAGTTACTATCAAATTTTAAGACAGCTAGGGATGGATGATACTGTTTTTCTTTACCAATTATCATATTATACAGCTGAGTCTGAGGTTAAGCCATGTATATTTTGCTCAATTAATGCCTATACATTGTATATGTTGTATATTTTGACTTTTGAGGCATTAAATTCAAGTAAATTACTGTTGCAAGATAATAAATGATAATTATTTCAGTGAATGATCTTGTGTCAGAAAGATGCAGTCATCTTTTGCTGACAGATTAAGAAGATGCAGTCATCTTTGCTTGATCAGTTGAAGCTGAATGTCTGATCATTTACTTTACAGCAACTTAAATATAAACCGACAATTCTAATTCAATTATACAATACAATTATACAATTACATAATCATAAAATAATTGGGCAACTTCACTTATTTTTAATGTCTAATGCTTGTACATATTAAGTCTCATTCACTGACTTGTACACGGTATATCTAACGCTTAACTGCGATAACACATAACACAAATATAAAGCATGCTCGTTCGTGTTCGAGACCCTAGTTGTATAAATTAGCATAAATTATCTTAGACTATAACATCTCCCTTTCTTATGAGATTTGGTCTCTGTCACCATGGTTTTCTATACCATGGTGTAACGTAATGTCAATCCTTAATCTGTCCATCCTGGTCAGCTTACTGTAGAGTTCAAACTGTTCAATTCTATGAGAGGATATAGTCTCTTAGCCGTGCTGGTACTTGCTTCTGTCGTCGTGGCCTTTCGGCAATCTCCGGTTCCATGTCTGGATTCTCCGCCGGTCTATCGTGTTCTGCCTCATCGTCTGATATCCCCTCATCCGTTTCTCTGTCTCCGATCGATTCGTCTTGCTCTTCGTCTTTCTGCTTTGAGTATTCTTCGTCTGCTTCCACTAGAAGATTTGCAAGTTTGAGTTGGCTCGCATCGCGGCATAGCTCTCGTCCATCTTTAATTCGTCTGATGGTGATGGAGGATCCTTGGATTTTTGTGATGGTGTAGAACGCTGGCTCGAATGCCGTGGACCATTTGTTGTATTTCTTCTGCTTCAACAGTACGTAATCTTTCACGGTAAAGTTGTGTTTCTTGGTGTTTCTTTTCTGTTGTGACATGCGTGTTTTGTATTCTTTGTCTCGTTTGTCGATAGCCCTGTCCTTTTCATGTCGATCACTTTCCTGCGCGTCGGCGTGGTTTAATCTGGTGCGTATTGGTCTGCCCGTCATGGCTTCATATGGTGAAACCCCTGTGGCAGGGTGTGGGGTGTCCCTGTAAGCGATTAGCATGTTTTGTAGCGCGAGTTCTCTTTCTGATTTGTTCTTTCCTTGTAAATGGGCAATCTGTTCTGTCTTGTTGAGGGTCTGCATGAATCTTTCTGCCTCCCCATTGGCCCTTGGGTGCTCGGGTGTGATGCGATGGTGCGTAAACCCTTCTTGTCTGGCAAATTGTGCAAATTCTTCTGAGTTGAAAGGAAAACCATTGTCGGAATCCACGCGTTCTGGGACACCGTGGTTGGCAAACATTCGTTTTAATCTCACTTGTGTTGGTGGAAATGATGTTGACGGCGTGACCTCAACTTCCGGGTAGCGAATTCGCTTGTCGACTGCTACTAGGTTGTAATGACCATCGGGGTATGGCCCAGCAAAGTCGTTGGCGATTTCTTCCCACGGCTTCTTTGGGATTACAGTCGGTTTGATGGGTTCTTCTGTATGCTGTTTGGTGACGACCTGACATTCGAAACACTGTCCAATGAGTTGGTCAATCATTCCATTCATCGTTGGCCACCAGTACTTTGCCCGAAGCATTTGCTTAGTTTTAGTTTTCCCAAGATGTCCCATCTCGTGAGCGATCTTTATTATCTTCTTTTGTAATTTGGCAGGTAGGATAATCTGATTCATCCGGTAAAGGAGACCGTTCGCTTCATACAGGTCGTCTTTGATAGCAACGAACGGAGAAATGTCAGGGTCCTTCTTATGCGCCCACCAATCACCGTCCCTTATGACGCGACGGAGTTTTTGGAAAGCGTTATCTTGCGTCGTTTCTGCCTTTATTTTGTCAAGGATGATAGCTGGCTCAGCCTCGGTGACACTCTTGATGATTTCTTCCGTTTCATTGTCTCCTGTCTGTGGTAGGGGGTGCCGTGAGAGGAAGTCCAAAGGATCAGCCTCATCTTTTCCAGGCTCATATCGCATTTCATAGTCCACATCCTGCATGTCCATGACCCACTTCTCGATGCGTGGTGGTAGCTTTGCAGTGGCTTTGTTGAAGAGGGGGAGCAATGGTTTATGCGCTGTGACGATGGTGAACCGTGGTGCACCCAGTAGGTAAATGCTGAATCGATCCTTCGCCCACTTAACGCACAACGCATCTTTTTCGGTCTGACTGTATCTTCTCTCGACGTCGGTAAGTGTGCGGCTGATAAAGTGGACTGGCTGCCACCCCTTCGCAGTGCGTTGGAACAGACCAGCCGAGAGACCTTCATTGTAACTTGCTTGTGCGAACCATGGTAGGTAGTTGAGGGTCGAAGAATGCTATGGTATCGTCGTTGGAGATACTGCATTTTAGCTTCTCGAAGGCAGCTTGTTGTGCAGGACCCCAGTGGAATTTATTCTCGTTGTGGGTTAATTCTCTTAAGGGTTGCGTCAGAGAGGCGTATCTGGGGATGAATTTTGCCAAGTATCCGGTCATACAGAGGAAGCTTCGTACTTCCGATTTCGATTTCGGTGGGGTGCACTCTTGGATGGCTCTCACTTTGTCCGGTGTCGGGTTGAGCCCTTGTTGGCTGAATCTGTAGCCATAAAATTCCAATTCCCGCTGACCAAATTCGCACTTCCTCCGGTTGAATGTGATGCCGTAATCGGCTGCTCTCTGTAGAACAGCTGCGAGCGTCGCATTGTGCTCAGTCCAGTCTCGTGCACCGATTAGTAGGTCATCTCTTTGGTTTAGGCATCGGGGAATATCGCCAAAAATTCTCTGCATGGTTTCATCAAATAAATCTTGCGATGCCTTCGCTCCAAACACTAGTCGCTTGGGTCGGAAATTTCCCCAAGGAGTGGCAAAAGTGGCAATGGCGCGAGATGCTGGATCAAGGGTGAGCTGGTGGTAGCCTTGTCAGAGGTCCATCTTGGTCCATAGGCTGCAGTCATGGAATCGGTGGGTGAAGTCTTCGACGATGGGGGTTTGGGTTACTCGGCTTCGTTCCATGTACTGATTAGGAATACGAAGATCAACACTCGCACGGATCATATGTGGCCCTAACTCTTCTTTGGGTGTTTTTGCAAATCGCGGTTTTGGTTGTATGACTAGAGGTGAGCACCACGTGACTGGTTCATCTTCAGGGACCTTCTCGAAGATGTCTTCTTCGACTCCTTGTTGTAACCATTCCTTTAGCGGTTTTTGTAGGTGATATGGTACAGGGCGAGGTTTCTGTGTGACCGGGATCGCGTCTGGTTTCATGTGAAACTGTCCGTACATTTCCTGCTTATTCTTCTTGTCTGTGATCCTGCCGATTCCGTGAAATACGTGATCGTATTTAGCTATAAGGTTTTCCATCTCTTGATGTTTGGGATTGGTGGTATTTGATTTGATGGTCTTGACTGGCTCGTCGTTCTTTATCCTCATGGCGTTTGGAGTTGCAAGTCCTCCGTCAGGCTGGATTTTGAGCATCTCTAATTCGAGGAGGGTGGTTTTTCCAAGCAGAGGTGGTGAATTTATCCGACCTTTTACAACAAGAAAGGTTGCTGACTTGCCACAGGTTTGATTTCGAACAATTGTTTCAAATTTTCCTTTGACACTGAGAGGGTGTTGTAATGTATTGAGTTTCATTTAGCAGATATCCATATGTGCACATTTGTTGAACAAAGGATTTTCTAACTCTTCATGTTTGATTCTTAATTCCTAACAGTTTCTGTAATCTATAAACAAGAATAGCTAGAATAAAATTATATCTATATGAACTCCTTTACTACAAAAATAGAGCTATTGAAATTTTGTTTTTCTAAGTGAGTGCATGCACTGTAAAAATGTGATCACACCAACAGCCATACCATTTCTTTTCTTATAAGGGAGGTTTTTGTTGGCTCGTATGTAATCACAGTTGTGATACTGATACACAAGATAGGCCATCCAGATAGGCCATCCACCGGTTTGAACTGCATATAGACGTGAAGTAAATCTTATACATCAATATAAATATATAAAAGTTAACAACAGTATAAAGTTTGACCCAAAATTAAATATTCAAATGTGTTTCATATGCGCTGATGATGCATATTGTGAAATTAACATAAGGTGTTGCTTACCCTCCTTCGGTCTGGTGCGCTCTGAAACCGCATTGCCCGAGAGTTGATTTGTTTCTACTGTAGAAAAGACGCAAATTCCATGCCTAACTATTTTAAGTTTGGGAGTCTTATACTTTTCCACGCTTTCCGAGCCATACTCAAAACATTCCTGATTCCTCAGTGAAATGCTCTAAGCACACAACCGACGAACTTGTTGGGCCCCAATTGTTACGTCTGCGTCGCACAAAGCTCTTCCATCTTTTCCTTCTCTAGACAGCCACAGGTGAATTCTCGCTCCAAAAAGGTATTTGGTACAAAAAAATACCCTTACTTGAGTCAGCAACGTTGGAACAACCGTAAATGATACACCGTTTAGGCACTGATGAAACAAAAACTCTAGCAGTTGTGTCGACTTGCAATAGAATATATATTTATTTGGAAGAACGTGTTCATCCTACCCAGGCCCTTCACGGTAAATTTAGTTGGGCTACTTTTTTTTGAGAAAATTGAGAATTTCTTATGTTTGAGCCACTATATCTCAAAAAGTAGAAGCTTAAATCAAAATCTAATCTAGAACTTCTATTGTAACTTTTTACACTCTATCCGAATCACCAAAAACCCATTTTGGGTTTATAGGCACTTTAATGTTGAGCAAAAATCTTCTTATTTAATTTAAGAAGATATAAAAAAAGTAATATAAGAAGAAATGCCAACCCTGGGTTAAATAAACCATGTATATTATTGAAGATATAAGCCCCGTTTACACTCCACTCAATTTATTGGCACGGCACAGCTAAAATGGGTACCCGTGCCCATTAGTGCCCGGCCTTTGTTTTGGTAGGCTGAACAGTAACAAAATTGGGTCCGGGTACCCATTTTAGCTGTGCCGTGCCAATAAATTGGATGTAGTGTAAACAGGCCTCTATAGTTATTTCATTTCTTATAGTAGTTCAGATTTCTGGACAAAAAAGCGAAGTTGGAACTTTTCGTGGTCTTGTACAAGTCGACCCAGTAGATGATTTCGGCCTCTCTTATATATATATATATGTATGCCCAAAATTTGGGTTAGGGCATTATTCGTTCATATATCAGTAACACAATTAATATTTTGCTAATATCTCTTTTCTTACCTGGAAGTGCTGGATGTAATACCTCATTTACTCTTTCAGCGAGAGTTGCAAGCCAATTATGATAACTTCCAAGATCGTCATATAAAATATTAGGCTTAGGGACCTCAACAATTTTGTTGTCTTCTCCTATGAAATCAACCGCCGAAATGCAAAGCTGATGAGAAGCCACCAGACTGATTTTCAAGACTTCCATGATCTTGAACAACGGGGACACCTTACACTACAATTGAAGCGCTTTAAAGACATTTTTATTATAAGGCCTGTATCTGAACTTGTATGCACATGTTTATCATGGCGTCGCTATTCAAAGGCTTTTAAATGTCTGCCATATGTATAAAAACAAGGCAGGTCCGGTCATTGGATAGCCTGTCCGGTAGCTTACCGACTTCCTGATTAGCGGTAATATTCAATTTCTTATGTTTACAAACTTGAAATTTATGATTCTTCACAAACTACAAATGATACCTAAACTAAATGGTATATAGTAATAGATAAAGATAAATGATCAATAATACGGAATCCAATCACTCCAATGCTGAGCCAAGCCTGGTACTTTTAATAGCCCTAAATTGCTTTGCAAACTCTCAGGAAATACCAGGCACCTTGTATTTTAACAAGGTATCAATCAGTCAACTTAACCTTAGTGTAACTAACAATAGTTTTCTGGCAACAAACGGATACGTATACAGTCAAATTGGCAAATATGGCAAAAATGAAAGGCAAAAGCGGACTTCGTTTGGCGTGCAAACTCGTTAGAAAAGAAGCGCAAAATGAGAAAAAGAAATTAAAGAAAAAAACAGGAGTGGAGAAAAAAAAAAGGAAAAAAAAAGGAGTTGCAGAAGCTGAGGTCCATGTATGTGGCTATGCAAGTTGCACAGGATGAGGCATTGCGGTGTAAGAAATTGACCTCAAAGTCGAAGTATATAGCACCCAAAAAAAACGCAGCAAAACAAAACG